CAACTCCTGCCCACCAGCCCGCCGTCCGTGAGCCGCGCCGCCGACCCCGGGACAGACCGGCACAGCTCTCCCGCCAGCCTCCCGGACCCCGGGCATGAGGCGAGGCGCCTAGGCTGGCTTGGGCGAGCGGAGCCGGGTCCGAGGACAGCGCTCCGGAGAGGAGAACCAGCTCAGCAGCGCGGAGAGTCAAGTGTGAAGTTCCTGTGTGAAACCTGCCGGCTCCCCCGCAGCGGGTAAGCGCGTCCCCAGAGCCGGAGCCCGCAGTGGACAACACTGACACAGGCTGCTGGTGTTTTCTGCCTTCTGTCGCGCTGATATTGAACACTTTGCTCTTTAAGCAACGTCCCCCCTTCAGTTCGTCATCGCTGTTTTCAAATCTGAAGTTGATTTTCTCTTCCTTCAGGGCGCTCTAGTTAAAGGCAGGGCGTTTAAAGTGAAGTTCGCGGAGCGGGGTCAGCGGTGTGTCCGTGAACACCTGTTAGTTTCGGCTTGTAGTAGCAGGGAGACAGTCCAGTTCGGGTATTTAACTTAGATTTATAACTTTTTTTGTTCAACTTAATCTTCTTAGAAATACAATACATTTGGATAAATTCGCTTGTTTTCAGTACAGAACAAATTGTATTTGCCCGACTCCTCTAGCGATCGGAGCTGTTGGGTGTTTCTGACCCACATACCATACTTATTTGTTTCGGAATAAGGGGACTCAGTTAATCTCCGTCTAAAGTAATAACCGGGCTCACAGCCAAAATGAGTCTGGAGCCGGGACGCAGGTCCAGCTCGCGCTGGAGTGACGCGTTGTCCCCCTCGAGGGCCTCGCTGCCGGGGGCTGCCGCGTGCTGCGGCGCTCGCGGTGGGGGAGGCGCTGGGGAGCGCGTGCGGACCCGGGTTCGGGCGCTGTTGTTTACGTCTCTTGCCTGGGGATTTTCAATAGCATCTGCAAGACCATCACAGTGCGCGTTGACCATTTATTTTTCATTATATGATCGCCCTTTGCCCTTGTTATGCCAATTTACGAGTTATTAGCAGACTTACAAGTGTCAGAAACACTCTAGCCTGCAATATAACCAGTTAGACAACAGTGAGTTAAAAATGAGGTTCTGGCACTGCTGCCTCTCAACACTGGGCTCGGGGTTCAGTTTCTGACCTGGGTGCGGTCTGTGTGGAGTTTGTATGTTCTCGTTGGTTTAATCCAGGTGCTTCAGTTCCCTCCCGCAGTCCAAAGACATGGCTTCTGGGAAACTGGCAGTGATGTGTCTGTCCAGCCCTGCATGTCTCCTGTGTGTCTGTCCAGC